TTTCTATGAGCCACTCGGGGAATCCAAGTGAGCATCCTGCCACTCTGCTTTCTCAAAAAGGAATTCCACCAGCGTTATTGATATCCAGTCGGGGAATAAAATGCCCGACGTTAATGCAGAATTCTACCCCGGGGTAACTAGTGTTGAGAAGAAAAACACTGCAGCAAGGTGAAATATCGCTTTGGAGGCACGCTTCACAGGACCACATTTCCAAAAGGCGCTTTCACTTTCTTCTCTTTCTTTTCTCTCCCTCCTTTAAAACTTGTTTTGTTCTCGGGCAGACTGCAGAGGGAACATATCGACGATGTCTGTGTCTGAGTGCAGCCGGCTGTCCAAGTTAAAGTCAGAGCTCATTAATGCATCTGATTACTTTCCAGGCAAAGGACGATCAGCAACCGCCCCAGACACACACACACACACACACACACACACACACACACCCAGCAGCTTTTTGGGGACACAGATCGATACGGAGGCACTTCAAAAGAGCAATGAAGAGGAGGATATTGGAGAGAGGAATGTGCCGTTAGCTTAGACTACAAACTGAGAATGTAAGCAGCGGTAATAGCGAAAATAAAAGTTTTAAAAGGGAATCATTCACATAGTTTATTACTTAACAAACTAACCTCATGTCCTTATCGTAATGAGTCAGCCACAGTTAGGGCTGCAACTGAAAATGAATAGCTGAGCCTGTTCAAGGTCAGAAAATAGTGCAAATTAAATGCCCATCTAAATTCCCCTAAAACCAAAGGTGGTTTGTTTTGTATGGCCAACAGGGAAAAGGTCTACTTGCTCGCTCCCTTTGATGAATACAGTACATATATATCAGCAGACGGAAATTTGTTCAGTTGATGAAGACCGTGTACCACGGCCGAAAGCTCCCGAACAGTGGCATTCAGTCTATTCTCATAGAGAGCTGGAACCGGGGTAAAGAATTATATAAAAGGTGCCCTTGGAGTTTTCTTATGAACAAACAAGTCCATGTTTATGTTCGTGGTTACTCATGAAAAACACATTCGTCCTCGAGGTCAATTCATCCAATTCCAGAATTGTTGACGATCTATTTTCTGCCGAAGCACAAACAGAAGGGATGATGGAAACAGAAGGGATGATTTGATGAAATATATTTCTTTCTAAATAGAAAGCGCAGCGCATGTTTTTGTTTTTCAGGCTTTCCCCCTGGCGGGACACAACGTAGACGGACAGAAAGAGACGAAAGTGGCTCCTCAATGACGTGAAGGCATGGAAACTCTGGATGGGGGCAGAGCTTTTCCACACGCTGACAGACATAATCCAGCGTCATTAGCAGCTGACGCTGACTACATACATCATACAGCATCTGACATTCAACATCCTGAAAAGTCTAAACTCCTGTCAGTGAAGGCTGGAGGGGATTGGGGAGATCTTGGAGAGGAGACGGACAATGCGCTGTTTGTGTGTGTGTGTGTGTGTGTGTGTGTTTGGCTGGTCAGAGTGGTTCTATTTATCTCTAATTACAGTCAAATACAAGTTTCCAGAGGAGATTCCAGTGCAGCTGGCAGCCATTCAAATTCATCCGCTCCCACGTGTGCGTCGCATCCAGTGTTTTGACGAGGCCTCTGTGTGTGTTGGTTCATGTCAAAAGGTCTATCCCGTAATAACTGACAGCTATCATTACCGCTTCCTTTTGTCTTTGCTCTCCCGCTAATTAAATCTGCTAATGTCAATATACAACTTTTAATCTGCGATCACGTTCGATTGGACTGGTTGAGGCCTCCAGTGTTCCACGTTGTTCCACAGACAAACACATCCCAAGCGCCTCAGAGAGAGAGAGAGAGAGAGAGAGAGAGAGAGAGAGAGAGAGAGAGAGTACATGCAGAGTGGTAATTACACCTAAATTGAGGTCACATGGTAATCTATGTTAGGTCATCTCCAATTCCACTTACATTTCCACATTTTGGACTAATTAAAACTGTAAATAATCAGAGCCTGTGTGTGTGAGAGAGAGGGAGAGAGAAAGTGTGTTTGTGTGTGTGGGCAGACACCATGTCTTTGAGATGAGCCAGTGGGAGAATTTTCCCATCACATTGCAGGAAAATGAAGTGCACACTCTCTGATTTTAACAAGACAGGAGAGCAGATAAAGTTCTTTTTTTTTTTTTTTAAAGAGAGGAAAAGAGAGGAGAAAAGTGCTTCCCGAGCAAAAATGTTTTTAGATTGCGATGTGCGTTTAATTGAAAGGAACATTGGAGCAATGTTACCGACATGTAGAGATGGGTGACGAGGTGTTTTTCTGCAGCGTATAGTCCGTCCAGTTTGTCTATGAAACTGACAGAACTCAGAGTTAAACTTTCAGTGATGCCTCTCTCCCCCCTACGGCAAATTGAAGTGAGATGAGGAAAAGGGGAATTTGCTATTCTCTGAGCCTTTGCCCTTCGAGGTGGTGGAAGAGAACAGAATATGAATGGGGGTGAGAGAGAGAGAGAAAGAGAGAGAGAAAACACTTCAGAAGATGAAAACAAGCCTTGAAAGGCAACTGGTGCAATATAACCAACTCTGGCATAAATACTGGATGAACGCCAATAAAGAATGCAGGGTGGATGTCAAAAGGAGCAGGGCGCAGAGACACCGGAGTCACCTGCTCTTCACAAAACACACTCTTAGCCCAGGGTTATCTGTAGCCCTGGGCTAACAAGCAATCAAAGAGCAAGCCTCATTTTGTCAACTGTAAACAACATTTGGAGACACTCATCACTGCTGGAGACGTCCTCAGCATTGCATTAGCAGCTTTCATCTTTTGTCGTTTGTTTAAAAAAAACTGGCGTGCCCTTCGTATGATAATCATTGTCCTTTAAGTCGGTCTTCTGCAACCAAAGGCACGGCGAGAAATCTCACAATTGCACATCTTGCATCATAGCAGAGCAACAGACTTATCTCCGACCCACTCGGAGTCTCCGAAACTTTCCTCGACAGTTAACTTAGAGCACGGAAAAAAAAACAGAGGAAGATCAACAGAGTTACTGCTAATAATGTAAGTGGTTGTATTTCTTAAGTCTTAAGGCTTAAGGCCCGCCCACCCCCTCCCACACACAAGCCATTTAACCATCGACAGAGCTGGATATGTTCTTGACACAGAAAAAGGCCCTGCAGCATGGAAGTGAAACCACAACCACAACAACACGGAGGGAGGGAAAAGAAAGAGAAAAAATGCTTGTGGGTGTGCACATGACGGAGAAAAAAGGCAGAGGGCGAGCGAAAGACCACACAGAAACACCCTGCAGCAGATCAATTATTCAATTTGGGAGGAGGAGAAAGAGAGGGCAGATCACAGCGAGTGAAAGGCTCATCCTCATCTGGGATTGATTAGGAGACCGCAAATGCACCAGGAGAGGAGAGGAGAGAGGAAGGAGAGGAGGGGAGAGGAGAGGAGAGGAGTTGATCTACAAACAGCTGAACCCAGAGCGAAATAAGTTCCTCTGAATACAAACGGTTGAGTCACCTTTTTAAATTCTTCATATCCGATACAATATTTATAACTATTACATTTAAAGCCAACAGCCTGTATCGGCTGACATCCAAGTCTAAATGTCTAAGAGCAAGATATAAATATAAACATCTTTTAGCATCCACGCATATTTCTGGATCTCACAGTGCCAACACATTCAGCCAAACTCATTTTGAGGCCGTAATTACCCACAAAGCAACACAAATCAGTTTATTTTCCCTGAGAAGTGGGCGGAGGCAGCCGTAGTCTTTCAGGCCGTTGCAGAGAATAAATGGCCTCGGTGGAAAAATGAAAGGTAAGTGTTTCTGGGTCGTCTTAATTCCTGCCAAACTTAATGACAATTCTAGGCCAAGCAACCAGAGCGCCCAGACCTAACAATTCCCCCACAAGCTCAGCCCATTTCTCTGCACCCTAACGACAGGAAGCGAAAATAACCGCAATGATCTCGCGCCTGAAAAATGACTGTCTGAAATTGATGCTGCTGCGCTGAAATGTTATCAGCCGGCAATATTAATCTCTCACCTAGTGGTAATTGCTAATTTCATATACTATTAGGTTGATGAATGGGGTTTTAACAAACTGAGCTATTGTTAACAGCTTAAAGCGGGCTAATTCATCAAGGTCATAATTACTCATGGACTGCAAAGAAACATTAGCACTGAAAAGTGCAAGAGCATTAGTGAGAGACGGACGATCGAAATAAAAGGGGTGAGAAACAGACAAGTCAAATGACTAATTAAGTTCTCTTTCTGTTTCAGAACTAAATACCTATTAGTCATCATTCATGATGTATTTGATCGGGAGGAGCTATAGCATCAACAAGACAAGAAGAAAGCAGCTGGGAGGCTGTTTTTCACAACCTGGAACACAGTGACATCTAGTGGTGGTTGTGAAGTAGTGTGTCCCTTTCTTCTACTGCTTTTACTCAAAGAAATATGATTGGGGGGGGGGGGACAAAGGCAGTTCAGCTGTCTGAAGTCACTCCATGCTCATGATGTATTAAACTAAACCAACTGCGGCAATAAGATTAGTCACTAAACAGATTAAGATATTAGTCAGCAAACAAATGTATTTACATTCTCACAAACATGTGGGTGGGGTTGATTTGAACCATTTAGATTTAAGAACTGATCATCGCTGCTAATGTGTACAATGAGGACTTCCAATGTCTGACCGGATCATCGTAACACAGCTGATTCTGAGACGCTACACTGAAATGAATGAGTCTCGGGCACTCAGGCATGAATTTCTTAAGACTCCAATATGGCGGAAAAACCAACAGGAAGACATGCAAGAGACAGGGACCACGTCTCTTAACAATATCCTCATAACCCCAGAACATCAGCAGTAGCTACATAGCTCAGACGAGTACCAATGGAGAGCCTTTACGCGATGAATGCAATCTTTACATTGCCAAACTGGGACCGGGAAGACACTCGGGCTTCCTGTACGAGCAGAAAGCACGAGGCTAGCAAGGAGGAATAGCCCAAATATGAGAGCAGGCTCGTGGGACTTACCAGCTTGTTCTCTTGCAAGTAGAGTCTCTGCAGTTTAGGGCATCCTCTAGCCAAAGCCACCATGCCTTCATCTGTGATACTGTAGCACTGACCCAAGTGGATGTCCTTCAGCTCACTGCAGTGCTCTCCCAGCTGAAGGGAAAAGAGGACATGTGTTTGTTTAGCATATGTAAAATAAAGAGTATTACTCCAATCTTCATTTGGGAACAAAGACAACAAATGAGGTGGATGCATCACAGACAAGCAAACATCTGGAGAAAAGATTTCTTGTGTCGCTACACTCTAATTCGATACCTTTTTTAGTGCTTCATCTGTCAGTTTGTCCTGGTTGCCCACATGCACCTTTACCAGCAGATGGCAGTGTGTAGCCAAGGCCGACAGGGACGTGTCCCCCAGCTGCTTGCAGCGATACGCTGTATACTTCTGCAGGCCTGGACAGTGCGAGGCCAGCGAGGACACACCGTGGTCATGGACACCTCTGCAGTCCGAGATGTTAATCTCTGTCACGTTCTGCCTCCGAGAGGCTATTTTCACCAGGAGATCATCGTTTACCTGGGGGACGGGGGCAGGGAGGGCAACACAAGGAGAGATGAAAGTCAGCGGAAAGATTGTAAAAGGTAAAGAGTGTTCAAATTACAAGTCAAAGATTTGATCCAAGAGGCAGTTATTCCAAAGGCCTCATTCCAAACCAGAGTGTTAACTTAATGTTGCATGTGGAAAATACAAAAGAGTGTGCTGCTCGACTGAAAAAGAAAGACTAGAGTGTCGCTAGGTGCTTACTTGTTGTAGGCCACTGAGGTCGATTTGCTTCCAGAACTGGAAGTCCAAGCAGAGGTCCCTCCAGTACTTACACACCAGAGAGGCACACAGACAGCGCTCCTTCACTGTCAGGTGGGAGAGCACCTGAAGGAAGGCAAAAGGAAATACAACACATGTATCCAGTCTAATAAATTGTCAAGTGGTAAGTCAAGTATTCAGTATTTTTGAATTTCTCCATTGTACCAACCCAACAGTAATTAAAGACGAAATTAACTCTGACCTTAAGAAGGATGGAGGAAGGCAGGTGGTTGATACTCGAGTGATCGGCGGCGTCAGAACTTCTCGCCTGGCAGTCGTCGTACGGATGCAGGCAGCAGGGGGACGAGTCCGAGCTGTGGGGCAGGTCGGCGTGAAGGCCCGGCCCGCAGCAGCCGTCAGCGGGGGAGGAGGAAGAGGAGGAGGCAGAGGAGGAGGAGGAAGATGAAGTGGAGGAGGAGGAGGGAAGTGGACAGAGGGGAAGGTGGCAGTGGCCGGTTTCAGAGTTCGAGGCGGCCTCTCCCCCGCCTCCTCCCACTCCCCCGTTGTCCAGCCCTCCGTCGGGGGCCGCGAAGGCGCAGCGCGGCTGCTTACAGGGGGTGCACCTCTGCACCTCTGAGCACTTCCTCTTGCACACCTGCGCCCAGAGACAGACACACACACACACACACACACACACACACACACACACACACCCACACACACAGATTTTCTTCAGGCAGGTTAAGGCAGATTTGAGTGTACAGCCTTTAGATGCAATTGCAGCATTGAAGAACCTCACGCCGCCCACATAATGAAACACTGAATCAAAACGGGACCCTTTACCCTGGATACTCAATGTGAACAAAATTTTAAAAGTGGTTGCTTCGAGTGTGATGTTTGACTTGTGACTCCTGTTGTTACATCTTGAGAGCACAACAAACTCACTGTGTAATGTTTCCCTTTAAAACACTTGGACTTTTGTTGAAGCTTTGCGCTGATTTTAATCCGCCTTTTTTGTCTGATATTATAAACAGCTGGGCTGCTCTGTCAGTCTAAATCCTGTGGCTACTAGATAGAACATTTTCTGCAGCAGCAGCACTGGTAAATCGTGGCTGCTGAGGCCATCTGGACAGATTTGAGTCAATGCTCGCTCTCCTCGCCAGCTACAGCGTTCGGTACTGTCAGTGCAGCTACCTACCATCTCAGTGTAGTCACTGGTGCAGCCAGGCACAGGTACAGGTACAGGTATGGGCACGGTCACAGACACCCCAGCGGTTCGGAACAGCACCGGCGGCGGAATCAGTTTGGCAGGAACGGCTGCTAACAGGCTCCTCCCTTGGCCCTCCCAGATAGCCAGCTCCCGCGGGGACAACAGGAACTTGGAGCAGTCCTCGGGGGACGCGAGCGTCGCGTACCGCTCGGCGAGCTTCGAGGCCGCTGCGATGCCAACTCCACCCACGCCGGGGAGACCGATTCCCGTGATGCTGTTGCGGCGGCACGCGCTGCCGTTGGCACCAGCCTCCAAGTGGTCGCTGTCGTCGTCGAGGCCGCTGCTGTTGCTGTGGACAATGAAGCAGAGCATGCAAGGCAGCTGCAGGAAACAGTTCCTCTTCTTCTTCTTCCTGTGATGCAACTTGCGCGTCCTTTTCTTCAGGCGGTAACCATTTTTCGAGAGAAGATGGCCCATATAGATGATTCAAGGAAACTCTGGAACAAACACGAGTCAATTCATTGGTTAATCTACTATTCAGGAATAATCTAAGGACCTGCAGGTTCACAGCAGAGCAGGACTGGGTGTCATTATTAGTATCGTATTAGTGTCAACCCAATACCTGAGTTAGGGTAGCAATACCAAAACAAGGCTTCTTTCAGTACCTTACTTTTTATTTCAAATAATTTAATGTCCTAACACAACCATACAAGACCTTTCTGACATAAAATCTAACATAGCCAAAGTTATGAAATAAGTCAGTAAATATCTATGAAAAGTATATGTAAACCAGATCTGATAAGCATTCCATTAACTTCCAACACTTGACAGTTTTCAACACTCCAAAACATTTAGGTTCAATCGACCCCTCAGTAGTGTGGTAGAGAGAAAGAGCAGCCTCATATCGTAAAAATATACATCACACAATCATTTACTATACAATAAAAAAATGTTACATGTTGATGACCTGCATCAACATGTAAGTTCCTCTGCAAACAATATTCCCTGGAATAAAAAATGAATATATATATATGTATTGTAGGCTATGTCCAAATACAGGAGAAATAGCTAGTCTAGTTGAAACTAAGCAAATTCTCTCTTTGCATTTGATTTTTTATACTGCCCTTTATTTCAGAGACAAAATGTTCCTGGTATTATCCTCAGCTCACAAACTTCAGACTGCATTTTAGGAGACTAGCGTCCCCCATCACTGACATCTGATTCATGCTCGAAAAAGATCCCTCCACAATCAATCACGTTTGAGTATCGTATTATATGGAGAAAATGTGAGCCACTTTCTGAAAGTGTCAAGAACCATCAAGGTAGATCAACTTAAACAGCTGGTAACGCATATGATGCTAAGAGAGGACCGATGGCAGCCAACACTGTCTTCACACTGGTACCGCGATGTAGCACACATTAGGAGGCTGCACAGCCACAACCTAGCTTGATATCATCGTGACATAATTTCGAGTGCAAAGCCTAAAACTGCACGCAAAGAGCAGCAAGCTTTACAGCCGTGCCGTCGTAACCATTTGACCTGTATTAAGCTAATTTGTGCTGTGAATACATTACTTGTCACATGTTAAAAACCCTGCTTTCGTTGCCCGCGTTGCTGTTTGCGTGCTAAATAGCAGATGTCTATTACAATACTATAGCGTAGCGAGGAAACAGCAGCGATGCATCGTCTCGTTTCAGCCCAATGCAAAGATGTAAACATTGAACAGGTGGTCACTTGTTTAGCATACACACACGCGCACACGCGCGCACACGCACACACACACACACACACACACACACACACATAGTAGACTTGATGTGACGGTGTTTGTGTTTTTGCCTGAAGTCACGACGAGTTTACGTCTAATACTGTCTCCAATTGAACAACGTATTCACGCCCTCGTTTAGAGAAAAAGGACACGGTGCGGGTGCTAGCCCGGTTCTGCTTTCTGACAGGCTAGCTCGCCCCATCAGTGGATGCTAAGTTAGCTGTAGCCACAACATGAAACATCTCTCACCACTTCACACGGTGCTCCCTCACGCCGGACGGTGCTCGCATAATACTGCTATGCTGCACGGCCAAGGTGAGTGCTGACAAGTCTCGGCAGGAGAGACGCGGAGACGAGAAACCCTGCTACTGAACTAGCGTAGTGTTTACCCAAACAGTGGCAGCTCTGGCTCTGCTGCTGCTGCTCTGGAGGACAACACTTCCGCACCGAGAGGGCAGCGGGAAGGAAGCCGACGAGGCCAGTTCATAATTCGTCACGGTGGCTGGATGAACCTGCCCGCTGTAAAAGGCCTTGTTAGGAGAAGTGAAGCCGAAAGTAGCAATATAAAGCTGCTCTTTTTTCATCTGTTTTAGGGGCCCTGTATTTATATCTGGTGTTAATACCTTTATTATATCAACTGATATTATAATGTCCTTACATGGTGCATATTTCCACATGCAGCTACTGATGTCAGGGTTATCTTGGTGCTGGATTGAGACTGTAATGCTTGTTTTCAAGATGTTTACTGTGTTTTAACAGTTTATATATATATATAAAAGTAAATCAAAACATGTATGGATACTTGCAATAATCCAGTATTATAATGATATAAACATGTAATACGTACATGCACACATGCATATGCACACACACGATATTACATCTATTAATAAATAAATAGAAAAATCAAACTCCAATCGCATAAATGGTGGAATAACGTTTATAATTATTGTTATTATTTATAGGGGCTACATTCCAATAGACATATTTACAATACCTATATTCGACACTTGAAATGCTCTACAATCATCTACAACAGTTTCTTAAATGGCCTCTAGGACTTTCTGCATTACAAAGTGGAGTGTGGAGGCAGGGGATCTAATGGAAGATGCTGATGATGAGTTGCATTTTGGGAAAGGCAGAGTCTAGTGTTTTGGGAGCTCGACCCATACTAGGGAATAAAAATCAGGATATCTTCATTTGTCTTTTGTGAGTTCCGCAACTTTATGTTCGCACAATACTAAATCACTGGACTATCCCTTTAATGCTTCTATACTCAAACTAGTTGCACAACTGAGACAGTGCTTGTTTTAGCATGCCATGCACACATTTCAGGAAATAATCTGCAAGTCAGTTCAAGTCATTGAATATAGTAATAAACAGTCGCATTATTAATTATTAGGCTATTACTATTGTTAAATATTCCTTTCAAAATCATTACTTTGCTATTCAATTTAAATGACATTTTCAGTCCTCTCTCTCTCTCTCTCTCTCTCTCTCACAAACACACACACACACAGTTTATGGGCGTGTAACTTTGCAGCCACCACTAGCTCCTCAAGGCTGAACGGCAACTCCCAAAATAGCAATGCGAATTCGGGAAGCCTCGGGGGAAAAAAAGAAAAAATGGCTGAAGCCCTTTCACCAATAACTCGACAAGTAGCTAAAGAAAACCAGGAGATCGGGACCCCATCTGTCGATTATCGTCTTGAAGACGTCGAAGATTGTTTGATTTACGACCGGCATGGAGTCCCTGTTCCGTTCAAGAAATTATATCAAGACAGGAAATCGGTCATAATTTTCGTGCGGGTAGGGGAAAAAAATAAAACTTTGTTTGGCTTAACCTTGCTGGTGACTCATAGGCTAGACTGCCTGAAGTACAAATCTCGAGAGGTTTGAGTTATTGAGCCTCATAAAGGCATCACAGTGTAGGCAACAGGTGAGCATCAGCCTTGCTGGACAGATGCCCCAACAGCTTCCCCTGCTATTGATGGCAATGAAGAGATCATGTCCATAGGTGAACACAGAGGGTTTGGCACATATAGGTGCCGGATGAGAGTTTTTAAAAAGTAATATCTCGTTTCTCTATAACCCTTTTGACCCATTACTCTACATCCCTGCAGAACTTCTTGTGCTACAGCTGTAAAGAATATGTGGAGGATTTGAGCAAAATACCTGGAGAAGCACTGGAGGTGAGTCCTGACCAGGTCAGTTGCATATTTAACTTGCAAATTGTTAAGGGAAGATAGTTTGGGTAATTATGAAATCTTGGGTTATTGATTCTGGAAACTCCCGACATGTAATTTGCAGGATGCTGACATTCGACTGGTTGTGATTGGTCAGTCTGCTCATCGTCACATAGAGGTAATTCATTAAATGATTCTTGTGCATCATTTCAGTCTGCCACATTTGTTCCTGTACAACATCTTGATTTTCAATCTCTGCAGCCATTCTGCTCGCTGACGGGGTATCCTCATGAAATATACGTGGACCCGGAGAGGTGCATTTATCAAAAGCTTGGGATGAAGCGAGAGGAGACATATACAGACTCGGGTATGCAATAACAGTATGAGGGCATGTAACCCCAGCATATTCTGTAACGTTGAAGAATTTTATCCGTGTGTGTGTGTGTGTTTCATCTACATAGCCCACCCTAGCCCCCATGTGAAGTCTGGTATCTTTATGGGACAACTGAAGAGTATATGGAGGGCCATGACTAGCCCTGCATTCGACTTCCAGGGGGACATGCATCAACAAGGTGGAGCCATCATTGCAGGACCAGGTAATCTTTCCTCTCTCTCTCTCTCTCTCTCTCTCTCTGCTTCCTTGTATCTTTCTCTTTTCCTACCTCACTCTTTTCCTCTCTCTGCAGGCCCCCAAGTTAATTTTTCCCATTTCGACATGAACCGCCTGGACCACATGCCCATCGACTGGCTCCTGCAGCTTGCCGGAGTTCAACAGACTCTGGACTTCAGCGATAAGCCAAAGATCCTCCATGTGTAGCCAGCTGGACTGCCTGAAAGCCTGCTTCGTCCCATGTCGCTGTCATCATCACACTCATGCAGGCAGGGATGGTGCACACAAATTGCTGGTTCAGTTAACAGAAAGAGTTTAGGCAACATCATTCTCTATAACAAAAGTCTTGGATAGGTCTGAAACAAACAGAGAGTGAAAGTTCATTCCTGACCTGAACTCAAGGTCTCCTTAGCTTTATCTCCCTCAGAGCTTCCATTCACATCTCATGGGTTGATGAATTTGAAGGCTTTGGAAAAGAGATTTGGTGAAAAAAAGCTTGTAAGTTTCCCTTGATCGTGCCTGTGGTGAGTGATGTATGGTTGAGTGTGTAAAAGGGATATGAATGCATTAGCCTACTATTTAACATATTTTCTATCTTTTCCATCAGAGCTATATTACTATGTCTTACTTTGTCTTGTTGTAGTGAGATGGTTGCGTAGATGCACACTTCAAAACAACTTGTGCACTGATGTAAGTGATTGTTCTTATCACAGTCTTATTTTTATACCCACTTTCCTCCTATACAGTGTTCATGAGATTGCAATTAAAGTTGAATTACTATTTCTTGGCTGCATTTTTTTCTTGTGTAATGCTCTACTCTGAAATGCATGGCAATTGCGCAGTCATATCAACCAAAAAAAAAATGGCACACACTGGGACTACATTCCCCACGTTACAGCGGCTGCAGATCGACGAGTGGAGGGTGGGCGCTGGACTCCTAATCCTGATACGTCAACATGCAGTGGATTTCAGAGAGGAGAAACCTGCCCCTGCTCACAGACGTCACCACCGGAGGAGACGGCGAGACCTCGGTTGACACACAACACTGGCAAACACACCCAGTTCCAGATCATCAGATCATGCTATATTAACACAGCACCAAAACACGGATACGCTGCCGCACTGCGAAGCGACGGGGGTCTGTTGCAGCTGCTCGGGAATGTCCACCGTGCAGACCTGAAGACAGCATGAAGCGCAAGAGCGAGAGGAGGAGAGCCGAGTCGAGGAAAAAGCGCTGCGCAGCTCACAGCAGCTCAGAGGCGGAGCCAAACTCTAATATTTACACTGAGATAACAGGTAGGGCTTCACAGGGTCTGCGGGATGAACCCTGCGAACTTTAAGCTCAGTTGGCAGGTTATGCGGGGACGCACGCAGCAGGCTGCGCATGCACGACCTTGCGTTATAAATGACCAGGGTGTGTGAACGAATTTTGGGGATTTTTTTTTCCAGCTTTTTACCTAATATGGCGACACCCTACGTCCCTTTATAGTGAATGCAGCGGGGTTGCCTCGTTTTAGCAGTATGTGCGCAAAATACACAATCTCAGCGGTTCGGTCTTGTATTTTAGAGCAAGAAATTGCACCATAACTTGACTTTGTGTGCACCATTTTTTTAATAGACTGTGTATGGAGATGGAATGGTGTATTCGTGCCTTAAATGTCATAGTCAACTGCCCACTGTCAGCGTCGTCCAACGCAGATTTTAATATATTTTAATATATTTCATGGCGTTTTCCTGGTAGTTGAACATCCTTGCGCAGCTCAAATCTCAGGAAGGGCGGTTCTTATGTAAATCACTCATTTGATTGGCCGAGGGATCGCCCTAGCAACCGCTTGGGCAACGTTCCCGGGGCCTATCATGTGTCTCATGTGAATAACTTTAAACTGAAACGGGCGCGGCGGAGCGCGACTGACGGGACGTTCGTCCAATCACGTAGCGTCCCGGATCAGTAGTAGCCAATAGCGTCCCGCGGAACACCGTAGGGGTGGAGTCGGGCGGAGGTCATTTTTTAGCAGAGTGCGCACTTGCACAAAACTCTCCTTCCCTCTTCGCCTGGTAACTTTCTTGTCCCGGAGAGTTAAATCAGGTGCAAAACATTTTACTTTTAACGCTATTTAAAAAAAAAACAAAAAAAACGTATCACCTTATAATACTTTTTAAATACGTCTTGCGCAATATCAGTGGAAGTTTTACTCAGTATGCGCAAGTGCTCGTGAAGAAAATCAACGTCATACGTTTCTCTGCAAAACAGTCATGTTCAGAACCGTGAGCAAGACGACCGCGGACGATGTTTCATCGAGATGTGTTGAGTTTATCAAGGGTGAGTAGTTGCAAGAATATACGTTAGAGAAGCAGCGTCAGTTGTAGACAAAGAGGAGCTGGTTATGGGCGAAATTGAGAGACGACAGAAGTTTGTATGCACGACAAAAGCAAGTTAACTGCCTCTTTATGTTGCCCCCCTCCCTTCCTCCAGATCAACTGTATTTCGCCATATTGAAGCAAAAGATCAAGAGCACGGCCGAACGACACTGTTTCTGCATAGATGAGGAGCTGGCGTACGAGAAGTAAGTTTTCAGTCACGTCGTATCTTTGCTTTTTGAACAGGGTCTCTGGGCTTTGAGCCCCCTGACCTTTGACCTACTGCTCTGTGTGCAACACTTAAATGGTCCGACAGTGCCGTACTGTGAGTGTAGCTTTGACTGTGAAAGTTAATCATCAAACCCAGGTTAGTTTTTCCAGTACTGATAAACTATAAGATCGAAGTGTTCTTGTGCACTACTTTAGATTAAAAGGAAATGGCACTTTTTTACTGTTATTGCGGAAAGAAATCCACAATAGCATTAAAAAATAAAGGCAAATAAAAGCAACTTTTTCCTCAGAACATTGTTTTTGTTTATTTGGCGTCAGGAGAGAACGAGACTGACCTTTTCGGTTTTGTGCCAGTGGTACAAAAAAAGACATCCAGTCTTTGCATTTTTTTTGTCCCGGTATGAATGACCCAGTCTAGCATCAAATGCTTCCAAATATAGTCTTTACTCTCTCATATTTTACCGTTTCAGCTCGAGGTAGCTGATTCTATCTAGTGAAACTTCCCCAGAGACCATAGCTGGCTGCATAAATAGCCACTCTGACACACTCTTATTCTTCTCTCTCTCTCTCTCTCTCCCTCTCTCTCTCTCTCTTCTCAGCTTCTATGCGGACTTCGGTCCCCTTAACCTGGCCATGTTTTATCGCTTCTGCTGCAAGCTGACAAAGAAGCTCACGGTAAAGTAAACCGCTGCTCCTAATTGTCCTTCCTGCAGAATGGGAGTCAAAACGTCAATCAATATCTATTTATACCCTCAGTACAGGTCAATTGATAGCCCTAACATCCCTGGGTGAAGTCAACTTGTGTCTATATATGAATAATAAAGTCAAATAAATAATCACGCGTCGGTTCACACTGTTGCTCTGAATGTCTCTGCACAGTCCATTACGCTCTCGAGGAAGAAGATCATATTTTACACCTGTGGAGACCAGAAGAAACAAGCCAACGCAGCCTACCTAATCGGCTCGTATGCGGTAAGCGGCGCTCAAACGCACGTGTTGCACGTAGCTTGTGAAAGTATGTCGGCGTGTAATGCGAGAGGCACCTGCTGACTGTACACTTTGTATTTAAAGGTAATGCATCTAAACATGATGCCAGAAGAGGCCCACAGTCTGCTGGTGTCGAGGAATTTAACATATATCCCATTCAGGTAACATTTCACTGTTATCGTATATATTTAACTTGTTATTCCTCTTTCCTATAAGAACGGCTATGTGAGACACCAGATTGTTTTCTTCCCAGGGAAGTACGTCGCGGTAAATAAAGATCCCAACTACGCTGTGCTGATAAAGACGGTCGGTTTATTTTATGTTTCAGAGACGCTTCATTCGGATCCTGCATGTACAATCTGAACATCCTAGATTGCCTTCGCGGGGTTCACAAGGTACGTCCTTTTAGGATTTGTTGACTCCTCTTTCCTGCTGTGTCGTGCCCCTGATGAAATGAACTCCCTCTCCTCCGTCTGCCAGGCTCTGCAGTACGGCTGGCTCGACTTCTCCAACTTTGACGTGGAAGAATACGAGCACTACGAGAGAGCAGAGAACGGAGACTTGAACTGGATCATTCCAGGAAAGTTCCTAGCGTTCAGTGGGCCTCATCCAAAGAGCAAAATAGAGAATGGTAAGTGAAGCTTCAGTCTTCAGATGTAGCTTTTTAATAAACCGCATCTGATCTCGTTTTTAACGGCCTTTTGCTCCCCTCTGGTCTCAGGGTACCCTTTGCACGCTCCAGAGGCCTACATCCCGTACTTCAGGAATCACAACATCACCACCGTCATCAGACTCAACAAGAAGATGTACGACGCCAGGCGCTTCACAGAATCCGGCTTTGAGCACCATGATCTGTTCTTCGTGGACGGGAGTACGCCGAACGACTCCATCGTCAGGAAGTTCCTCAACATCTGCGAGAACGCAGAAGGAGCCATCGCCGTCCACTGCAAAGGTCAGATCTCTAACCCACGTTCACGGCGCCCGGTAGTCCTTGATCAAACTATTCTGTCCGATCTGTAGTTGGTGCAAGACGCTTCGAGTCTAATGCCGTGAAACTTTTTCGTTTTCTTCCAGCTGGTCTGGGGAGGACTGGCACTCTGATTGGCTGCTATATGATGAAACATTACTGCCTGAGTGCTGCAGAGGCCATTGCCTGGATACGGATCTGCAGACCCGGGTCCATCATTGGGCCTCAGCAGAACTTCGTTGAAGAGTGGGTGTTCACTGATTTTAAAATCATATGTGTTTGTCCTTAATATTAAATATCCATGACTAAATAAGCAACAGCCAGAGTTAAAGTTCAGAACATAACAGCCGGTGGTATTATTTATCAAGACTTGATTGACGGCGCTGGCAGCAGAAACGGTCAATGCCACAAAGGTTAGCGCATTTCAACTCAAATGTTGCTCAACTCTGATTGGTGCAGGGAAATATGTGCGAAACATTTTCCCAAGGGAGGCGACCGCGCCCTCTTCAAACCCATGAGAATGTCCTGAGGGATCTTAATAACAATGGCGGCGGTGGTTTGGCAAGAAAAGTGTGTTCATTTTGCCCTTTTTGTTGACATGTTTCTACACCAGCAAGCAGAACAGTCTGTGGGCAGAGGGAGACGTCTTCCGGGAGAAGGTGCAAAATGAACGCGAAAACGGCAAAGTGGCCGTCACCAGGATCCTGTCCGGAGTGGATGACATCACCATCAACGGGAGCAACAAGAACCGGCCGTCCAACACAGAAGAAACGAACCGGGTGAGTTTTTGAGAAGGCGCTCTCGCCTCTCTTTCAGGTGTACCAACTTTGCGGCAGGATTTTTTTTGAAAGTATTTGAGTAAGCAGAAAACACAAGGACACGCCGCTTGGTCTGTTCATAGCCGTCTCTTTGTTTCTCCAGTACGACGACGAGGAGGAGAGAAACGGCCTCACACAGGGTGATAAACTGCGAGCCCTGAAGAGCAAGAGGCAAGCCAGATCGTCCTCGGGTTCACTATCGTAAGTAGCTGGGCGGCCCGCGAGTCTCATCGCGCCAACGTGATGTAGTACTCGTCAGTCTCTTGGATCCATTATACAGTGTTTCAAATCATAAGTAGCTTATGATTTCATAAAGACAAGGAAGTTGTGTTTGTTGTTTCGTCTGATGAGCTTTCTCATTTCCTCAGTGTTTACTCAGGGTGGGCAGCTGTTCTTCTGGGGTCAGGGTTCAGGCACAGCCAATCTGTCAGGGCTGCTCTCCCCGACTCTCACCATGACACCTTTTTATTTATCTGTACGTTTAGGAACCAGGCAGTATCCCTGTAATATTTCAATAACTCTGTCTTTGTGTCCCCCTGGTTCTTTTTAATAAATGTCATCAAGTGTGATATAACTCATCCCATTTTCATCCAAGTCGAGGAAGTAGTTGTTTGGAGGACTGGATTGGAGTTATCTGATACGCAATCTTCCAGCATTTTCTTTTTCTTTTTTTTTTTTTGTTGAGGTCTGGATTTAGAAAGGCACAAAAGATGTGGAAGTTAAATATGTAATCTGCAGGTTAGTTTTACTGCAGGATTGGGAGTCTGTAAATTTTCTTTGATCATAATCTTTAAAAAAATGAAATCTCAGGGTTGAGGGAAAATAAATACTAAGGCCAAATCAACGTGGAGCTTGCTAGTTGCTATTTTATAGCAACTTTTATAGCAACTTTTTTTTATTTCTTTGCTCCCTATCTGAATGAAGTCCACATCGTTCGTGCCCGTGTAAATCGAGCCGTGGAAGGTTGTCTGTCGGCGTGGCTGAGGGCGGCTGAATGTACCCATGTGAATCTGGCTTTTGTTGTCCCATGTCAGGCAGGTGGTAGTGTTCTGCAGCAGCCTCATGGGCACGGTGTGGCCGATGTGTTGCCTGCCGCTCAAAAGATAGCCGAGAGGGGCAGAGAGAGGGAGAGAGAGAGAGAGAGAGTGGGGGGAGAGGAAAATCAGAGAGAGAGGATGTGAGGTTTTGTATGACGGAGGTAAGTGCACATCACTTCCTTTTTAACTGACAACCTCTTCCTGTAGAAATGGTATGGCTGACTTTTTGAAGTTGTTTTCTTTCTTTTCTTTCTTTCTTTGGACGACTGTATGGTTTGAAGCGGATATGCACTTAGTGGATGCGTTGCATTTACACGGCCGACATCGTCGTCCTCTCGCGGACACACTGAGCCGATCTGCTTTGATATCGAGGCTTACATCCCAGATATCCCCCCGAGTCACAGTGAAGCTGCTGTACTTGTTAACAACGGCAGCGATTGTTCAACTAATCACGGTTTCACGTCGGATCTGGATTAGTTGAATGAAATGATTTAGTGCTCGGCTTGCACTGCTGACATGGCACGTCCTGGGAACAAGTGTTAGGAAGGGAAACCTGGTCCTCGTTCTGATCCGCAGGAGTTACTTCCTCATTGTTCCTGCTCAACCATTTAAGCTGTAGCTGTTTTGGGGGGATATTACCACTTTGGTGTTAGAATGATCTCCGCTTGAGGTGTTTTTAAGGAGTTTAATTAGCGGCTTTAAATGTCATTCTAATACAAAGGCTTGCATTAAGCATCACATGTGAGCTTCAGTGGAGGTAGTGGGATGAAAACGGGGGTTTACCCGTTCTCGGGAGAGAGTTCAGGCAGAAGGGAGATTTGTTGGCACTCATGCCTTCGCAGGGCTTCTAACTTCCAGCTGAAGTTCACTGTCTGTTTGTATTACGCAACACTGACGTTGCATGTTGAGTTCCAGAGACGATTACAACGACGATTTTCTGAAAATGTTCTCTGCCGTTTTCACGCATGGCAACAGGCATGAAGCCCTTGGACATGCACGCATGCACATGCCTCTGTGTTCGATCTATGTTTGTGTCTAACATGTGATTAATGTTGGGCCGGGTTCATTGTCACTTGCCTGTTGTTTCTGTTTCCCATTGCTTCTGTGACTGGATCAGTGTACACATAGCACCGGAGCTTCAGCTTCTTCTCATATCGTCCGTTTGTGTGGAACAGAATTCAAAATTCGATAAAGGATGAAGGCAAATTTTACCATTTTTAGACATGTTCTTTTGTGCAAAGTATTAGAGCTCGACCGATGTATTGACAGGCTGGCATCAATCACTGTTTGCTCATCACATATAAAACCTATCTATATCTATATCTACCTATATTTGGCAGAAATTGTTGTTAATATATGTTTTTATATGCTGCAGATTTGACCTCTTTTCTTAGATTGAGAGATTATATAACATTTATTTAAAATACAATTTCCTTTTTTCTCTCCCATGTTTTTTGTGTGTGTGGCGGGGTAATAATAATAATTTAATTATTTGGTTAATTATTGTGATTTAAGTTATCTTTTATCTTCTGTTAGTATTAACTGTAAAATACCCCGCTGCCCTACGTACTATATATTTGTCCTAACTTTGCAACGACTAAATTACCATCATTGTCCAAAATGTTAACGTTTTAGTTTGAAAGCTAAATATCACTCGGTGTATTATTGGCTTTTCTGTCCTCTCTAATATCGAGATCTACTTCAAAAATTCCCACATGGGTCGAGTTCTAAGCACAAAGCAAAGCGCTGACGCGTGAGAACAAGTGAAGAACATAGACTTGCTGACTGATGCGAGGCTCTGTGAGAGGTGTTTCATCTGATCCAGTCCCAGTGGAAACGCAGAACATCAGAGGCTTTGTGTCCCGCCCGGACGTCTCTTGTCTCTCCTTCCTTTTTATTCCCCACCTTTTTTTTCTTCTTTTTTCCGTTTGCTCTTGTTGTTGGATTTGTCCTCCTTTCAGATGGCTGGTAGCCATGCTGCTCTCCTCCCTGTGTAGCCTTGCCCTGTGGTGGATTGTGTATGGCTTCCCTTCTTCCATCCTGCATTTCTGTATAGACCGGTTAGGATTTCAATGAGCTCTGCCGCCCGTCAGCCCCCAAAAAACCTGTCCTGTTTCTGGAGCTCTAACTGAGAATGCTGTAAGTGAGCCCCCCAGTCTCTTTTTTTCCTGTTTTTAAAATTCTCAACCCCAATAAGAAATTTGTTTAAAATCATCCTGTTATTCTTTATTCTTTCTGCAAGTACAGTAAACTTAAAGCTGATCAGCAGAGCCAGTTTTTCTAAATCTAAAACATCAGAGGCTCCTGTCTTGTCTTTGTCACCATTTTCTGTACATAATTCGTTTCCATCATCCTGTCATTTTTAAACATCCTGCTTTGCTGGTTATTGTGTTGACTGGACTGTTAAAAGACATTTAAGCGTTCTTGTTGACCATGATCGCTCAGTGAAAAGGAAGATCAAGTTCCTCTGACGTTTAGTGCCCCCCCTGGCTTCTTCTGGTACTACTCTGCTTTACTAATCCTACCTGGCTGTTGAAGCTGCAGGAATGATCTAACACTATTCAGATTATTAAAACCTTCCTGCCCACCTCTATACAGTCTTTGACCCCCTCTGTCCTGTGTCACCTTTTGTTCTCGGAGGTCTCAATAGATCAACTTTTTACTCTCTTGTAACTTTTTTTTCGCAGACAAGAAGAGAATAAGATTCACACCAGGTCGTCATCACAGTCCCTCAGGTAAAGTTTGCAGCACACACACACACACACACACCAGGCATAACTACGCTCTGACAAACGACACGGCTCGGCCTGATTCATGACATTCCGTCTCCTCTGCAGCAGGGTCATATTGCATTCCAGTGTTCAGGGCTGCAAGGCCAGCATCAACCCCTTGGCTCTGTCCGACCAATCAGACAGCAGGAAGAGGACCAGAACCTCACTGCCAGCCAACGGAGTAGAAGGAAGGTCAGTGTCTATATGTGTGACGCCCGGTATGCTTTTCACTCCATGATAGACCAGATGTATGATCAGGGAGAGCAACGCAAGAAAATAAAACCATGACTGACAACAGATGCATTTTTTTTTCTTCCTCTGCTTAAAGATAAGAATTAGATAAGAAGATAAGAATTAATAAATCCTGTTTTTATGTGAACTTGACGCGCAGTTGAAAAGCAACCAAGAGGCTATAGCCACTCGTGGGTCCTCGAGGATTGAATTTAACGGCTTCCCTTCTCTCTGCCAGCTCCCTGTGCCACACCAGACTGGTCAGGTCTCTAGGCAACTTGCATGTAGTGGCCGGCGACAGGGACCCAATGTGTTGGGAGCCGTATGGCAGCCGTAGAGACGCAGCCAGCGCCGCAGCCACCGCGGGCACTCTCATCAACTTAAACATGGCACAGGTCCACCTGCAGGCAAGCTCCCTCAAAAAACCCACTGCAAGCCACGAACAGTCGTTGGCATTCACCTTTTTCTACGAAGACATGTTCTCTACGCTGTCCAAACGGGGGAAGTCGTGTTCAATTTGGTTTCCCGCCAGTTTGGACAGATGCTCAGATCATGACGTTTAGTATCTGTGTAAATTCAGCGGCTCCACACTCTCCCTCTTTCTCCTCTTAAAGCTCCTAATCACTCAATGTTCTTAGGCTGGGACGCATCAACAAGGAGGCAATGTTTTAAACATCTAGTTGTGGTTCATCCACTTGTCAATCAAATGTTTTACTCCGTTAGAGATTAGCAGGACTCAATGTCGATCTCACTTTTAACCATTTTGATGTGACTGCAGCTGTCTCACGTGTCTGGAGGACGGTGTCTTTGTGGTATTTGGGGGTGGGGGGGGTGTGACAGTTCCTTGAAGAAAGATAAAAATCAGACTTAAGTCAAAATTAGTCTGCCAGCATAAATCCTTAAATAACACAGTAAACTAATAATTACTGCTATTATAGTTTTTTTTGGACTGTCATTTAGTTGAAGTTTTATTCTTGCCATGGCTACATAATTATCATCAGACAAAACAAATAATTACCACGATAGTGCAACCCAGTCACTGTTCTTCTTTCCTCAGCTGTTGTACTAACATTATCTATATATCTATATCTATATATCTATATCTATATATATATATCTATATATATATATCTATATATATATATCTATATATATATATCTATATATCTATATCTATATATCTATATATCTATATATCTATATATATATCTATCTATATATATATCTATCTATCTATATATATATCTATCTATATATATATCTATCTATAT